GAAACAATGGTTTTTTTCATAATGTTAAGCACGTAACTTCAATCCAACTAGTGATTTTAATAGCCAATGGAGTTTTCTATCCAATACATTTTATAGCAAGATTTCACAGATGAACAATGATGACAAGGTTCTTAAAAAACCGAATACGGTATTTTTCAGGTTCTAGAAGACTTTGCCAGAGCTATTTTTGAATGGTGCCAACTTAAAGAGCACAAATTCTGAACAAAATGAGGGATTGCCGAGTTTTCTACGAATTTCTCGTAAAAAGTTACAAGCATCACAAAAATCATGAAAAAGGCGTTTTTAGTCAATTTTTAAAAAAATTTCGTTTTTTCATGATTTTTGTTATGCTTGTAACTTTTTATGAGAAGGTCATAGAAAACTCGGCGAACCCTCATTTTGTTCAGAATTTTGTACTCTTTAAGATGACACCATTCAAAAATAGCTCTGGCAAAGTCTTCTAGAACTTGAAAAATACTATGTTCGGTTTTTTAGGAACCTTGCCATCATTGTTCATCAGTGAAATCTTACTATAAAATGTATTGGATAGAATACTCCATTGGCTATTAAAATCACTATTTGGATTAGAGCTACGTGCTTAACATTATCAAAAAAAAACCCAAAAAGTCTTTATTTCTAAACTTTTTCCCACCACTTTACTTTTCGTTAATTCTATACGAATAGAATTTTTGTATTGACAGGTGGTGTTCGTAGTTGTTGTACTTATGTGGGTGCTGGTAAATTAAAAGAACTAAGTCGACGAACAACATTTATTCGTGTTAGGTATTTAATTTATCATTTTTATTTATATTCTTTAATTTAATATTTCTATTATTTTTTTAGTCAACAATTGAATGAAATATTTTCTCCAAATACAATACAAGGCTAATCTCGGTCGATCAATCATTTTTCATGATCCGGTGTTGTTTTTTCTTTTTTTGCACTATAGTAATAGTAGATAAAACAATTTGAATAAAACATACATTTCTTTTTTTTTTGCTCCTTTCTCTATCTCTTTAAATGTTTGTTCAC